GCGTGTTAATTGCTGTAACCCACCCTGAAACCTAGTAAGAAGTCTGCTGGATCAGGCCAATGGCCCATATAGTTCAGCACTGTTTCTCAGGGGGAAAAAGAAAATAATTCCTACTGTGTTCAATGAAAAGAATTCCCAGCTTTTTAAAAAAAGTATATTACTTGTATTATTAGTGTTGTTGTTATTGATTTATCTGTATATCTCCTTATGGCCAAAGCAGATTCCTAAGCTAAGTATAAAACCCCAATTACATAAAGATTAAAATACTGTATGAGCACCTATAATTAAAACACACGATATAAACAACTCCATAAACACTGATCGTGAAGACACACAAGTAACCAATTCCAATAAAAACAGATCCAGGGATCAGAAGATGAGAAATTGTTCCATTAACTTCCCAGGTGTTCCTTGCAGCCCCCACGATTTAGGGAAATCCGTAAACACGCGCAGGGGAAACGAATGAGAACTTCCATTACTCTCTTTCTCCATAGCCCGAATTACCGCAAACCATGCAAACCCTCCAAGGGGACAGCTGGGAGATATCTTGAGAGCGAGCACATTTGCAAAGCTGAGGTGGGACCGGTCCGGTTTCAAAATGGAGGCGGGACCGCGTGATGAGATTCCTGCATTGCTTAAGGATTTGGGCTCGACGACCCTCGGGGATCCCTTCCAACTCTACCATTCTATGATATTGTGCATCTTCTAGAAAAAGAGCTAGCTCTGTTAAACGCCTGCGAGGCTACCTGGCTGCAAAGCCACACTCACCTCTTGCTGGAAGCGGCCATGCTTTGCGCTCGCGCCTCCGTCCGCTCCCAGCGGCAGCAACGTGGTCCGGGCACTTCCTCTCCCAAAATGCAACAGTAGCAAAGAGGAGGAGGAAGAAAGAGGAGGAGGAGACTGGAAGGGAAGCCGGCCCCGGTTGATCTTTAGGTTCACGGGCCCGGCGAGCGGAGGGAAAGAAACGGAATCAGGCTTTGAACAGGGCACGAAGCGGGCGGGCGTGTTTGCGCAAACACATACAAAAAAAACCAAAACATTTCTGGGGAAATGTTGCACCGTTTAATTTCACAGCTTGGAGTTGTGTGCGCGCGCGGATGTGTCTTTTCTCGCACCCACCGCAGGCTCTTCCCAGAAACGGTGGGGACTCGCCCAAAGTAGAGCTTGAGAGATGTAATGACTGCTGTGCACAACACGCATTCAAAGCACATCCCTTCCGCACCCAAAGAAGAAGAAGAGTTTGGACTTGATATCCCGCCTTTCACTACCCTTTAAGGAGTCTGAAAGCGGCTAGCAATCTCCTTTTCCCTTCCTCCCCCACAACAAACACTCTGTGAGGTGAAGCTGAGAGACTTCAGAGAAGTGTGACTAGCCCAAGGTCACCCAGCAGCTGCATGTGGAGGAGCGGGGAATCGAACCCAGTTCACCAGATTACGAGTCCACCACTCTTAACCACTACACCAAACTGGCTCTCTATTGGGGAGAGCCCAAAGAATCCCGGGAACTGTTTACCCCTTGCAGAGCTACAGTTCCCATCACCCTTAAGAAACTACAGTTCCCAGGGCTGGTGTGGGGGTAAGACATGGATCTTCTAAAAGGCATGGGTAGGCAAACTAAGGCCCGGGGGCCGGATCTGGCCCAATCGCCTTCTAAATCCGACCCGCAGACGGTCAGCGTGTTTTTACATGAGTAGAATGCGTGCTTTTATTTAAAATGCATCTCTGAGTTATTTGTGGGGCATAGGAATTCGTTCATTTCCCCCCACAAAATATAGTCCAGCCCCACCAAGGTCTGAGGGAGAGTGGACCGGCCCCCTGCTGAAAAAGTTTTCCGAACCCTGTTCTAAGGAAATTGTAGACCCCGCCCCTCCAAATGTAGAAGTGATCGATTTCTCCCTTTGAGAGTGGAAAAGGAAGTTGAGACTAAAAAATATGGGAGATCTTGCTGGACTGGAAAAAGAAGCCCCTTTCTAGAGGAAGGACAGGCATAGGAACATAGGAAGGCACCTTATACCAGCTCAGACCATTAGGGCCATCTAGCTATGTTCTGTATTGTAAATACTGACTGGCAGTGGCTCTCCAGGGTTTAAAACAGACAGGAAGTCTCTCCCAGCAGATGAACCTGGCACCTTCTGCATGCAAAACAGAGGCTCTGCCACTGAGCTATGGCCCTACCCAGTGGGAGCACAGAGCAGTTGGCAATACTGTATCTCATAGGTCACACGATACAGAAAAAGGGGTTTACAACCCTGAAACTACATATACAAAGCAACAGTGCTGGCAAAACGGCTGGTTACATTTCAAAGGTATATAGGTGAAAAGATAATATGTTCACCTTGCTTGTGCCTAAGTGACGCCAACATGGGGGGGGCAGCAAAAGGATGTGATTTAGGAAAGAGTTTCGTAATCAGAGGGGCCACTGCTGAGAATGCCCTGCCTTTCATCATCCCTTACCCAGCAGAAGCTAAATGGAGAATAACAACCAGGGCATCCCTTAGTGGATCTTAAATGACTGATAGGGCGGTACTTGGGGATATTTTTGTCCTTCTGCAAAACCTTGTGGTCTCCCTTGTGGCCTGCTGATATGTTCCACTTGTGTTTGGGTTGGTGCTGTTTTTGCTACATAAGGCTTGGCACTCACCATCTGGACATCAGAAATAGAGGGAATGGTGATATAGTACTTAGCATTTACATTTTGTCCACAAATGCTTATGCCACAATAAGTCTTTTAAAAAGTGCCCCAAGACTCTATTATCTTCCTGCTTTATTTCCCCCCCCCCGATACTTACAACAACCCTGCAAACTATTTATATTGCAGATATGGGATAGTGAAGCTGTGTATACACTAAATCACATCCGAAGGACATTATTTCACTCAAAAAACTATGGGGACTGTAGTTTGTTCAGTGGCGTAGCGTGGGGGGTGCAGGGGGGGCCGGCCGCACCGGGCGCAACATCTGGGGTTAGGGCAAATCTACAGGTTAGGGGGCGCAAATCCACGGGTTAGGGGGCGCAAATCCACGGGTTGGGGGCGCAAATTACTTGCCTTGCCCCGGGTGCTGACAACCCACGCTACGCCACTGAGTTTGTTAAGGGTTGCTGGGTATTGTAATTTAGCGAGGAGTGAACTACAGTGCCCAGAATTCATTGAGGGAAAGAATATGCTCCAAATGTGCTTTAAAGTTATAGTGTGTACACAGCATGAGAGACAGTAGCCTACAGTCCAATCTTATGCATGCTTGTTTTGCAAATCTGTGGAGAAGAGGATTTATTGTACCTGTTTTTTAATCTGGAGAGAAGGTAGTATAATATTTATGCATGGAATTCTCTCCCAATAGATATTACCTTAGATCCCTCTTTGTTATCCTTCCACCAGCAAGTGAAGATCTTCCTATTCAGACAGGCCTTTAAAAACTAAGGTGCAGACGATGCTGATCACATTTCTAGTTCTGAACGTGTTCTGATATATTGTAATTATTTATTTTTAACATGTTTGTGTTTCTTACTTTCTATTTTATCATGTTTTTAAATGTTTTTAGCCACTTTGAATCTCAGCTTAGGATAAAAGTGGGGTATAAATATGTATAATAATAATAATAATTGTTTATATATTTTGGATGGATATGTAACTTTGGACCATATTAGTTTTTGGCTAGAAGCAATAAAGTTGGCAACGAATTTGATATCTAAACATTTTGGGTTGTATCCAGTTAAATTCTACTGTACCCACTGAAATGAATGGGTACAGGTCTTTTATGACACTGAATAAGAGTGGTGTTGAGTACAACCCCATTATGTGTCTTTTCATAGCATCATAGAATTGTAGAATTTCATAGAATTATAGAACTGTAGACCTAAATGCAGAAATATTTCCCCCAACATGGGTCTTGAACCCACAACCCAGAGACTAAGAATATTGTACTCTACCAACAGAGCTTTTACCTGCTTATGTTCAATAGCAATCATTGCATGACAAGTGCTCAATGCAAAGGAAGCGTTTTACCAGTGTGGAGTAGCCACTCTCTAAGTGACCTTGGGGCAACCTCTCTCTCTCTCTCAGCCTAACCTTCCTCACAGGATTGTTGTGAGGATAAAACGGGGAGGTGGAGAAGTGTGTTCAGGTCCTTTGGAGAAAAGGTGGGATACAAATGTAATAATAAATAAGTTGTCTTGAACCGTTTTAAATAATGTTTAATATTGTGTTTTAGTATTAATATTGTATTTTAATTATTGTAGAGAGTGAAGGGCAGGTATTAAAATGTAATAATAAACAAAAAAACATGGGGGTGGTCCAAAGATGGGCTTCAGGGGGCACAAAAATGGGTTTGTTTTGTCCCCGACGCAATAAAATTAAGTGTATGCTTTTCCTCTTTTTGCATTTTTAATGCATTTTGTTTCCTTTTTATTGTTTCACTTTATTTTGTTCAATAAAAAATATTTCCCATAAAATGTATGCAAAATGTGTATATTTGCTTTAAGTGATTTTTTTCTGGGGAAGGGGGTCCATAGCTTTCCTCAGGTCCTCCAAGGGGTCTGTGACCTCAAAAAAAGGTTGAGAACAGCTGATGTAAAGACACTCTGCTGTATCCCCAAGGAACAGTCTACACAGCACGACCCACCGTTGCAAAACTGCAGAGCGGGCGGCGACTTTACACACACACCAGCACAGACACACAAATCTAACAAGCCTTCCTTTTGATTATTGCTGTAGAGCCCAGGGTGGGGGAAAGTGCTGGTGTTTTTTCCACTGTGAAGGGAAGCAAAGAAAGACGGACCTGATATGTGCAAAGAGGAGAGAGAGTAAGGAAGGAGAGAGGAGTATAATCCAGCGGGAGGCTTTTGCCGCTGTTAGCAATCGCCCCATCAGCTGGGAAAAGCGATTTTTGCACCGGCTAACTTTTTAAAAAATCCATCAATCTGGAGAGCAAAGTGCCTGACCACGGAAAGCACCTTTGCTTTCTAGCCCTGGAGGTGTCAACTGGGTGAGTACGGTCTTTTATTCACAATTCTCTGCATTATTATTATTATTATTATTATTATTATTATTATTATTATTATTTCTAACGGGGAAAATTCATAATAGAAGAAAGCACCGGTTCTGAACAAGAGAGGCAGATTATTTACAGGATTGCAGCCTAAACGTGCGTCCATTGCAGATGTGTGTGTCTCATTTTATTGTATAATTTTATGTGCTACCTGCAATGGCTCCACTTGGAATTCTCACGCAGCCTGGGTACCGCATTTTGCAGGACCGGGAAGGTTGGCGGTACATCTCAAACGCACACTTTTGCACGCAGCCTGCCCGTGCGCTTCCTCGAGAGTAAACCCCAGGGTCCTCAACCGGGTTTTACTCCCAGGAAAGTGTGCCTAAAGCTTGCTGCCTCGCCCCCGTTTTCCCCGCCTCTTCTCTCTCTCCCCCCAGTGAAATGGGCTGGCTTTCATTTCTCCTTTGTTACTCTTTTCGAGTTTTCCTTGCACACACACACAAACCCAGCCTGGCTTGTTGGATGGAAATAGGATGGCTGCGTGCGATTGCAAGCGCTTGCCTCGCTTTGCGCTAGGCGCTGTACGATTTGAGACGCCAACGAACAACAATGCAGCCACCACAAAATCCTTCATCTGTTGTGGCAGGGGAAGAGGATCTCGTTATGGGCTGCACGTTTCCAAGAAACTGCGGCTCAAATAATCTGCTGCAAGGCGTCGATCGGATGGGGCAAAGCACGGGTCCCGATCCCGCTGCTCGTGAGGGTGATCGTGTTGCGGTTGGAAGCTTTTGAAGACACGCGCTGGTGTACCGGCGAGGGGGGTTATCTGAGGTGACTGCCGTATTTCAGACAACTGCAGTCTAGCTCTCGCTCCTTTAATTTAATGTTTTTGAAAAGAGCCGGATTTGTCATTGTGGGGTGCAGCGGGTGCACAACCCTTTAAAGGAAGTGAGTGGCTGCGGGGGGGGGATGGGATGCAGGTTTTGCGTGTGCGCGCCTCCCCCCCCCCCGTTCCCAAATGCTCCAGTTGCAGTATCAGAAGCCTGCATTGCTGCTACCCAGATCAGTTTTGTATGTGTGTATTTTTTTTTTAATTTAAGGAGGCTATCCGAGTTTGCATATCTTGGCAGGATCCCAGTGCTGCAAATATATACAGTGTGTGTATGTATATCAAAGCAAAACTAATTCTTCCACCAGCCCTATCTGAAAACTAACCTACTGCCTATTTGCTTTGCGTTTTCAAAGACAAATATGACCATTTATAAAACCGGGACTATCAAAAGATCGGGGGTGGGGACGAAAAAATCTAGCTCCTCCTTAACTTTTTTTTGTTAAATCGCCTTCCACCTGGTCCGTTTACATTTGCGTCAATTTTAGCCCTATGGAAAGTGGGGGGCGGGCAGTGGAATATGGACACAAAGGAATCTGTTTCTTAGGCCATCCGGAATATGTTTGCACTTTCTTCCTGACTGCACCCTCCTCTCTGGGCAGGGAATGCAAGGGAGAGATGTAATGATGCAAATCATGAGAAAGTATTAGCTGGGGGAGCACTAAACTGCATACTCCCCTCCCCCCCATTAAAAATTGACATTTTGTAAGTCTTTGTTTTGGCCTGGCTATTTGCAGAAAAGACTCCTAGTATATAAGAACACTAAGAAGGGAAGGGGGCACCCAGCCAATCCCACCCCCTTTGTGAATGTACCTGCATGGCAACATGTGTTGATCACATTCACATGTTAGCATTTGAGTCAGATATTAAGCATACCCTAAGTGGGGGAGAGAGATTACCCCCTCTAGAGGGAGGGTGTAAATTGCAATGCAAAACTGACCTTTTTGTGCATGGAGGGGGGTGTTCCTAATTGTTTAACGCATTCCACCCACTTTATTTGCTTCTGTTTTTAAATAATAATAATAATAATAATAATAATAATGCTAATAAAGTATATGCATCTTCCCCTTGCTACATTTAAGAAAGCATAACTCTCCAGCAATTTCTTTTTTAAAAACCACTGTAATAAAAGAGTCATAAGAGAGCTGTTAGTCTACTATTGAGAATGAAATTTCAGCCCAGTGCACCCACACACACAGGTGATGGCCCATTGCATCTCTGCATGAATAGCTGTTCTGGGCTTCCTTTTATTCCAGTCGGCCTACACTGAATGCAGGTAATTTTTGTTTGCATCACAAGGTGTAATTTGAGCATTCAGTCACCCACACTACAAATATAACAAAATTACCTGCCTTCAGAGGAGGATCCCATTTGTGTCCCTGTGTGAGTCTCTGGTCTGAAGTTGCCTTCTTCCAGTCAATCTTCCCTGTTACAGATCCTTCTGCCACATCTCATGATCAAATGAGACCGGTTCATTTACTCTCTTTTGAGTAGTGATTCAGGAAAATTACCTGCCCTGAGAAAGCTGACTGTTGTATTTCTGCATGACTGCCTGTTCTGACCTTGCCTCCTTCCAATCCATCTCTCCTGACAGACAGGTAACTTTGTGGCCTCTCTGAATCAAGTGCAGCTGGCAAATTCACTGGGGCATTAAAATATCCCTAATTAAAATAAACAATAAAACAAAAAATTAAAAAGCGTAACAATTTTTTAAAAATTTAAAACGAATCAGAAGTTCAGTTCAGTGGAATGCTTGCCGTAACAGGTATTCATTCAGTTACTCTCATGGCAGGAAGGCTAAGATGAATTGCCTCTGCTTTGAGGAGGCTGCCTGCTGAGTCTCTGTATGAGTCACTGCTCTCGCTCTGCTTCCTTCTAATAAGAGGGCTCAGTCTGAAACATACGGAGTAGTCATTCTTGCACAATCCAAAACTAAACTGCTGGTCATTTTAATTCAGACTTTGTGGGATGAAAAATGAAATGAAGGGTATCTTTCCCCAGGTGGGGATAACATTTTATTTCTTGGTATCCTAGGCAAGATGCCTACTGACAGCATTTCAGAACCCATGCATACCTTTTGCAGCATAACTTTACCACACTGTTCAACAGTGGAACAGACTCCATAGGGAGATGGTGGACTCTCCTATCTTGGAGGTTTTTGAGTGGAGGTTGGATGGCCACCTGCCATTGAGATGCCTGCATTGCAGGGGGTTGGACTCGCTAGACGATCCTCCTCGGGACCCCTTTCAACTCTACAATTCTCTGATTCTATTACATCATGGTAGAAGCCCCATTGTCAGAGCATCACACAAGAATGAGTCGCTCTTTCTGACCTTCATCTAGCAATACTTGGATGTGGTACAGAGGTTCTTGGCTCCAGACCAGACTTCACCAATATGGTGCCCCCCAGATGTTTTAGACGACAGCTGTCACCAGCTCAGCCAGGTTGGCGAAGTCTGGTTGAGAACCACAGAATTTTAGAGCTGGAAGGAACCTCATCAGACTGCCTGCCCAACGCCAACCCTGCTGGGTGGAGCAGCAGGCTTTCTTCCACTGTTAGGATGATAGATGGTGGAGGATGCAGGTTGGAGCATGCCCCAGGACTGGGCCCGTTTTGCTCAGCACGAGACTCGTAATCTTAGGGTTGTGGGTTCGAGTCCCATGTTCGAGTTCCCATGCATTCCTGCATTGCAAGAGGTTGAACTAGATCAGGCATAGGTAAACTCAGCCCTCCAGATGTTTTGGGGCTACAACTCCCATCATCCCTAGCTAACAGGACCAGTGGTCAGGGATGATGGGAATTGTAGTCTCAAAACATCTGGAGGGCCAAGTTTGCCTATGCCTGAACTAGATGGCCCTTGTGGTCCCTTCCAACTCTATGATTCCTCTAAGAGAGGAGGGATGTTTAGGCACCAATGCAGGCACCTCTTTTTGTCGAATTTCCTGCAGCATCTGTGAATTCCTGATTTTTTGTTTTGTTTTGTTGTGCTACTGATGTAGTTGCCACACAGCAGGAAGAGAAAGGAAGGCATTGCCTAGCCTCCTAGGAGCTTAGAACACAAAGAGTTCATTCCAAACCAACTCACTAAACAGAGTCGATAACACAGGAGAACAGGAAGTTGCCTTATACCAGAGCAGTCTATCCTAGCTCAGTATTGTTGACACGGAGGGTGTGTGTGCTTGTGGCCCTCCAGGTGTTGTTGGATTGCTAATCCCATCAATGCCAACCATTGGCCATGTTGGCTGGGGCTAATGAGAATCCAACACCATCTGAAGGGCCACAGGTTCTACGTCCCTGTTTTTAATCCATTTTAGTAAAAGCCAGAACAGCCGCTCATGCAGAGACACAGCAGTGAGCCTCCTTTTTCTGGATGGTTCTCCCAGTTCCCAGGCAATTTTAATCCAGGGATGAGGAACCTCCCATCATCCCTGGACTGTTAGCCATGCTGGCTTAGGCTGATGGGATTTGGAGTCTAACAACATGGTCTACGTCTACTAGCAGGAGTTATCCAGAGGTTTCTGTGGGCAAAGTATGTGCCCTACCACAGGGGTGGGAAACCAACTCCAGCCTGAGGCCACATTGCCTGATCGACAACCTTCAAGGGATATGTGTAGGACACTGGCAGGTGGGACCAGGAACAAAAGCAGTTGGGCCAACAGTGAGGTGTCTTACCTTTGCAGAGAAGACTCCATTCCAACCACTCAAAAGGCAGAGGTTTAGAACATAAAACGAACCTGCAGGATCAGGCCAGTGGCCCATCTAGTCCAGCATCCTGCTCTCACAGTGGCCAACCACTGTGGTTCATAGCCATGGAGAGCCTTCTCCATGCATACAGTGGTAAAAGGTAAAGGTAAAGGTACCCCTGCCCGTACGGGCCAGTCTTGACAGACTCTAGGGTTGTGCGCCCATCTCACTCAAGAGGCCGGGGGCCAGCGCTGTCCGGAGACACTTCCGGGTCACGTGGCCAGCGTGACAAAGCTGCATCTGGCGAGCCAGCGCAGCACACGGAACGCCGTTTACCTTCCCGCTGGTAAGTGGTCCCTATTTATCTACTTGCACCCGGGGGTGCTTTCGAACTGCTAGGTTGGCAGGCGCTGGGACCGAGCAGCGGTACAGTGGTACCTCGGGTTAAATACACTTCAGATTACATACGCTTCAGGTTACAGACTCCGCTAACCCAGAAATATTACCTTGGGTTAAGAACTTTGCTTCAGGATGAGAACAGAAATTGTGCTCTGGCGGCACAGCGGCAGCGGGAGCCCCATTAGCTAAAGTGGTGCTTCAGGTTAAGAATAGTTTCAGGTTAAGAACGGACTTCCGGAACGAATTAAGTACATAACCAGAGGTACCACTGTATATCTAATCCTCTTCTAGAGCCATCCAAGTTGGTAGCCATTGCTGCCTTCTATGGGAGCAAGTTCTATAGTTTTAACTCTGAAGAAATACTTCCCTTTCTCTGTCCCAACTCTTCAAACATTCAGCTTTCTAGCATTACAAAAGTGGGAGAAGAATTTTCCTCTATTCACTTTCCATGCCATGCAGGATTTTATACTACTTATACATACAAATCTCTCTCTTTCTCCATCCAGGCAATGCAAGAGGCACCAGAGTTCAGGGACTCTATTCCACCCACGCAAAAGCCCTTAAGGAAGGTGTGAATCAGGGCTGGGAAAGCGTGTCACCTGGGGAGTCCCGAGGGCCAGACTGAGAGAGCTAGGGGGCCACATTTGGGCCCCAGCTCCACCATTCCTGCTCTATACCACAAAGCTGCAGGCCCTTCCTTAAGCTCCAGCTACGTTGCCCACAAGCCAGTGGGAGGCAGCCTGTAGGATTGAGGAACTGGATCCGTGTCTTACAGCAAAAAGCAGAGAAAGGGGTTTGCAGCACCTGAAAAGTGCGGCTTGCTTTCGTTAATAAAATGTTTGCATCTCACCTCCCCAT